AAAAAAAAAAAAAAAAAAAAAAAAAAAAAAAACACATCATAGTAAAACCAATACCTTCTCAGCTTCGCATCGAAGCTAATAATATGTATAAAGAAAGTTTCAAATTAAATTTTTTTGATGAGGGTTTGTGGTACATTTTTTTCATGATTTCAGAAAACGCCCAAATTTAAAAAACAATATAAATTCCTTTTTAAAAATATTTTTTAAAAAGTTATACTAGCTTAATGTCAAAATAAATATTTTCAAAAAGTTGTTAAAAAAATTTACTAAATTGAATGTATTATAAAATTTGACTATAATTGTAAAAATCTATAGTGAAATTTAAATGAAATTAAAAATCATTTTTTTTAGAAATTATTTATATAGCAATATTTTAGCAAAAAAATTGCATTATTATAGGATGGTAATAGAAAACAAAAATAGAGTTGAAAATTAATAAATTCAAACTTAATTTGACAATAAATGCATTGGAACTGAATGATTTTAATTGTCTATATTAAAAATAAGAGCTAAGTAACTTTTTAATTGATAAATTAGAAATTTGTTCAATTTTTAAGGGTAATATCTTTAACTAGATAATAGTTTTAATATGAATAAGAAATTTAATAAAACGAGGGGAAACTATAATGATGGGGTCTTTGATACTCATTGAAGTTATTGAATCTAAATGAGATAAAAATCTAATGAGAATTAATACCTTTTTTAAGGTATTTTAAAATAAAATAAAATACAAAATCGAGAGTTTTAACACAAAAATAGCATATTTTTTAATACGGTAGTCATTTTCACCATGAAGACAAAATAAAGTTCGCATTTTTTTTTTCATAATAGATTAAATTACATAAGATTTAATTTAAGGTATATAAAAAGTGTCAGTATTTCCGAAACATTTTCAAAAGATAAGTTGAAAAAGTTCTACTTTCTTTATGCATATTTTAGATATAAACCCCCCTCGTATATAGGAAAATAATCTTAATATATATATCTTAAATTAAAGCTTATATAATATACTTTATTATGGAAAAAAAAAAATTCGGACTTTATTTTATCTTCACTGTGAAAATGATTACCAAATGCTACTTTTGTGTTATTATTTGGAAAATTTTCAATTTTTGAGGGTAATGTCTTCGACAGATACGATTTGTGATCTTTTGACGTATCATTGAAAGAAATCGATTCGGTGAGAGCTGAGAAAAAGTGGTAACAGACACAAAAAAAAAAACCAATCTTAGTAAAACCAATACCTTCTCAGCTTCGCATCGAAGCTAAAATGTAAAAAAGAAGGAGCGGTCGCACACGTGCAAATCAATCGAAAATTAATAACGTACACGGTTAATAATGTTAATAACAACTTATTATTATTATTTAGAGCATTCGTGTATGTCCCCGATTTCATAGTACCAGTCTATATCACAGACTATATGAAAATATATGTATATAGTCTTTTGAAGTCTCTTTATTGAGAAGTCTATTGCCTTCTCAATAAACGGACATTTAATTACACTGATTAGGAAATCTATTGTATTGTGATTTGTGGACTGTGGTCTGTGGTTCAAAATAGATTGTTCGATACGAGTACTATTAAACCGTTATGGCGGTAAATGATTCGATACTATTTATTCGATCAACCAATAAAAAGGACTTAAAACTGAATGGATGAAATAACCAGCTTGCATATTAACTATGATTAACAATTAATAAATTTACATTTGTTCTTTTTAATTAGAAGAGTATTGTCATTAATTTTTATTTAATTAAGATAGAAGTTGTGTCTATAAAGGCGAAAATACTGAATGCCATGACCAAGAGGTGTAGGTTGTCTAGTTAATGAGTATGGAAAAGAATTAAAATAATTAAGAATGGTGTTCTTATAGCTTAATAGTAATGAGATATGACTTATTTTAGTCAATTATTACAATTAATATTGTTATTGAGATGGGTTCGACAAAATATCCAGTCTTTCTTGTATGTTCTTTCAAATTATTTTGAGAAATTTTATGTTTAGTTTGTTGGAATAATTTAAATATCATATATCATTGAATATGACAAACGTTATTTTAATTACCGGTATAGTGTCGGTAATTAAAATAACGTTTGTATGATCAGTATTAATTAGTATGAAAACATTAAAAAACTGTGTAAAATATTATAAAATTAATTTTTAAAACTATTTTAAATATATTTATGTATATTTTAGATAAAATTAGATAAAGTGAAAATCGTCAATAAATGATTAGTTAGATGTATAAAACTAAAATTAAAAAATTAAAATAAGTTTAATACAACAGATGTTTTATCGTAAATGTTCGTCTTATTATTTAGAAATTCAGAATACAATAAATACGTATCTTTTGTCACTTCGTCGAATTATTTTTTAATTAAAAAGTTTCAGTAATAGTTAATAGTAATTATTTTCCCATGACTTCATCAAAAGTTTTCAAATTAATTTTTTTATTATTGTGTGTGATTTTGTATACAAAAGCACCTCCGAGTTCAAAAAAATATATAAAGCAATTAAAGAGGTCACTATTGTATTCGGGATGGACAAAATTAAATGATGTAAACTTAATAACATACTTAAAAAAAAGTTATTACGTTCAAACTTTAATAGAAACACCTATACATCGCAATAATTGTAATAATAAAATACGAGTTTTGACTATATATCTTGGATGCACATACTCAAAAGTTATGCAAAATTTTATTTCAATTATTAGTAACTACCAACTAAAATGTGATAAAATATCGAAAAAAGAAAACGATTTAATAAATGGATACAATTGCATAGAACAACTCATAAATATAATATCTATACTCATTGTTCCTATGGCCAAATTGATGAAAGAAGCCATAATTGCTTTGGATTTAATGCATAACAATCCATGGGGTAGTGACCCATATTTTGATAAATACTCCCATAAAATAATTAATTTTGTAGGAGAAATAGAAACTATTCATGATAAATTAAATAAACTAATTATAAAACGTGATGATATTTCTATATACAATTCGATAATAACTAATATAAACTTAGTAGTTGACAAAATAAAACCGAATATGAAACAAAACACTGATTACTTTTGTGTTTTTGAACCTTATGACATGAATTATTTATGGAATGGTTGGGTTCAAGAATATGAAGACATTGACTATGGCGCAAAATTAGAATTTTTCAAATTCATAAACAAAAAAATGAATGATTATATCAAGACAGTAATTATAGAAAAGTATTTTCAAATGGGGTTTAAATTTGATCCAATTACCGAAGAAACATTTGTCCCAACATCGGAGGAGCTAATTGAATTAGGTATTTAAAATAATAAAATATTATTTATATATTTATTCATAGCATTATAAATGTTTTTATTAATCTAGAGTTAGAATTTAGAGGAACAAATGAAGAGCCTCCAACGCCAATACAAATAGAAACTCATTAAATTTTACAAAAAAATTGATTTTATCTTATAATAATGTATAAATTATTATTGTAATTATTTTATCAAATTTACGTAATTTTATAAAACTTTAAATAATTATTAAACATAATAATTTTATTTTATTTTTAATCACATCGTTAACTAATTTTAACTTAGTATGGTAAAGCACTGAATATTTTTTCAATGTTTTATTATATAATAAAATAATATTGAGTTTCATTTTATCTTCAGTGAGAAACTGAGAAAACATTATTTTTTCAAGGTTTATTTAGGTAGGTAGATTATGGGATTTTATTATTTTTTTTAAAATACCTTACAAAAATTTGCTATAGAAATGAGGCCACCGATTTTCATTAAAGATATATAAATCTAACTTGCATTTGATATAAATTTAAACTTATTTTGAATATTTTGCTTCAACTAAATTAAGAGAAATGACTGAATTTCTAAACTAGCTTAAAATATTTTTTTCTTAGCTTTTTTTAATTAAATATCTTTGCAAATAATAGCAGTATTAAATTCGTTTTTTTAGTAAATTCACAGTAAAATCATATCACTAAAATGAAACATTTTTTATTGTTCATAGACGAATAAATCAATACGTTACTAAACCAAATTTTTATGCTGATTTCAAACCTGAAATTAGATTTTTTTTTTATGACCTCATTTTTTTTTAAGTATATAGTAATTCTAGTACAATTATCAAAGAAAATAATGTTAAATTATCTATTAATCACTTAAGGTACACTTTATGTAACTGTTATTTTTGTTAATATTGAATAATATTTCAATTTGTTTTCTTGCATACTTAAAAATATATTTTGTTAAATTGTTTTTCAAATAAATTAAAAATAGAATAGTGTCGGTAATATTATTATGATTTATAATGAAAAATTTTAAATTACAACATATTGAAAATTATTTATATTATACATGTATTTGTTAACTTATATTACAAATATTACTATAAAAAATGTTATCTAATGGAAACTAATTTTTCAATATGTACCATTATTAAAAACGAATTTCATTTTCTTTACTTAATAAAAAGCCTATAAACCAATAGTCACACTGATATCACGAGGGAGGCATAATGATACCCTCTTAATAGAAAACAGCAAGGAATCGTTGGATTATTCCAAAAGCAACATCAGTAATAATGGTATGATGTGTTTTTACCCTTAAAGGTTCCAACAAGTGAAATTGATAGGGTTGAGAGTATGAGTATTTTAGTGGTCACGTCACACAGGTGGTGTGATAACCCAAGTTAAATCAGTGATGGTGACGTCAAAAGATAGTGCCAAGATAGTGTGAGGGGGCCATTCGTGATGACGTCAAAATAACGGTAACTATGGGTGTCCCCTCCAGGTGTCGGTTAATAAAGAATACAGTGTTTCTAGTAGGATATGGTTTACATTTGTTGTTTACATAGAAATAAATAAAAATCATAATCAAATTGTCGATATCTTAGTTGCATTTTTGACTCTCACACTTCTAATGTGTTTTTGTTGTTGTTATGGATTATGAAATAACATTTATAAAATTTATGATGAAAAGAAATATAGTTTAAAAAAACTATATTTATTTTTCACTTTTTAGTTTTATGTTATGATAGTAGTTACTATTAATATCATGGTTGTAACGGGTAACGGGAAATCAGGGTTCGATTCCGGGGAGGGAGTCTGAGAAACGACTACCACATCCAAGGAAAGCAGCAGGCGCGTAAATTACCCACTCCCGGAACATGGAGGTAGTGACGAAAAATGACGATACTGGATTCATCCTTTGTAATCGGAATGAATGAATTCTATATCTCTAAATAAGAATAAAGTGTGTTAATATATATATATATCTTTAATAGTAATTAGAATATATATATATACATGTAAAGCGACTTGAGTACGTAAACGTATCATGCATTAGGTATAGCCGTGTTTTGTGGGCGGGCGGGTCGGAATAACGTTATACCTGAGGTAAAAACGGCGGTAGGAATATACAGGTGTTCAGTAAGCCGTATGCACGCGGATGATAATGGTCAGTCAAAATAAAAATATGTTTATATATATATAATATTGATGACACGCACGTATGTACGGGTACGATAGTCAAAAATAAATTTATACAGGAATAGTATTGCCGGCGTGGGGTGGGGTGAATGCGTTATCAAACAGTCTAGTCAAGACGACGGAATATGCGATAACACGTGGCGTTTGGAGAGTTACAAACATACATAGATACAGGTGAAACTAATATAAGCGTGTTAAAAACGCTTCGATGCAAATCTTTAGATAGTGTTTAATTTAAAAAAATTGGTGGATTATTCCAAAAGTTACATGATCTGCTAGTTCCTTATTAATATCCTGATTAAAATAAAGTATGTCGAATGAAAAAGGGATTATTAAAAAATATTATTTTTCATAAAAAAATTGTGTTGATCCATACATTTTTCAAAAAGTTATAGCATAATAAATTTAAAAATTTAAAATACGAAATCCAGAATTTTCACACAAAAATAGCATTGGGTAGCTATTTTCACCGTGAAGATAAAATAAAGTCTGAAATTTTTTTTTTCCATAATAAAGTATATTACATTAGCTTTAATTTAAGATATATATAAAAGTGTCAGTATTTCCGGAACACTTTCAAAAGTTAAGTTGAAGAAGTTGTCATTTTAAAACCCCCCCTGTAGGCAGGTCTAGGGTCAAATTTATATAAAAAATATACCAAATAATAGGTAAAGACATTAAGCATCTATAAAAAAAAAATTATTTTGATTTATTCATTTTTGAAAAAGTTATGGCAGTTTTAAGTAAAAAAAATTGAAAAAATCTCAAGAATTAGCGATTTTTAAATTTTTAATTTTTTTGGAGGTTTCCCCCATTTACAGGGAACGAGGGAAATTTTTTCAATTTTTGAGGGTATTGTCTTCGACAGATACGATTTGTGATCTTTTGACGTATCATTGAAAGAAATCAGTTTGGTGAGAGCTGAGAAAAAGTGGTAACGGACACCAAAAAAAAAAAAACAACATAGTAAAACCAATTACATTCTCAGCTTCGCATCAAAGCTAAAAATATATATAAGGGAAAATTTCTCATTAATTGACATGCCTAATTTATGATAACTTCTCTTTGTTGTGTGAGTATTAAGTAGAGTAGTAAATACTGTTCAATTTTAAATAGTTTATAGTATTATAAATTAATGGTAAATTAAAAATTATATATTGTTTAAAAGAAAAATTGACATAATTTAACTTTATAAAAATAAGAAATACACAAATGATATTTTAGTAATACTAATGTTTATTTAATATAAGAATTAATAATATACAAAAAAAAATAATACATTTAGTTTTTTTTCTCTTTACCTTCAAGTCACAAAATTATATTATGATATATAGTCACCAAAAATAGAAAATTACCAAAAGAACTGTCTAACTTTTATAAGTATTAACATTTTATGTAGATTTATACTAATAATAATCATACACAAAATGCATATGTATAACATGTTACTTTAGATATTAAATATTTATAAATTTTTACAATATTAATAAGCCCAAAACGCAGTGACATATAAGATTGTCAATACATTTTTGGTTACAGAGAGAAAAAGAAAAGCTAATATACAATAAATTAATTAGAAAATCACCAAATTAAAAATAAAAATAATAAATTATAAATTTTCTAATTCAACCAAATACCTTCCATTTCCCTATTAAAAGAAAATAAGAGAACTTGTTATCAAGGAGAAAAAAATTATAAAAAATAACTAATGAGAGATTTGTCAAAGGTGACACGCATTGAGCAGAATAATTTGTTCTGTGAATAAAATGTTAATGCGAGTCAAAAAATATTCAATAAAACAAAATCTGTCCTAAATCTTTCGATTATTTTAAAATATTCATTAAAATTTTTTTTATAATTATACTTTTTCATAAAAAATAATACAACCTAATTTAAAAATAAATTAATAAAGTTTTCATCAAGGAGAAATCATATGATCTGCGATGTCTTTGGGAAAATAATAAAAAAAACTTGCAAATAGTTGAGCAAAATTATTAAGTACACACGGCTCCCTGATAATTTTGTGATGGCCAAGACCATCAATAATTTCATATCACAGCATTTAAAAAATATAAAATTCATAATTTCAAGCAGTTTCTAAACAAGTAACTACTTATCCTTAGACTGCTTAGGCCGAGGGTTCCGTTCAGTCTGGGTTACATTATTTCTCGGCACAATACTGACACTACCATCAGGTTGCTCACGCAAAGTATGTGTATATGGTGAGTATGGGTTACCGTCTGGATCTCTTAAACTCTAAAAGAATGAAAATAAGACAATTGTTCATTACTGAGATGATAACATTGCTTTCTTTTATTTTATATTAATGAATAAATAAGTATTTTAATGAAAATTATCAAATTTAAATGTTTTTTTTTTTTCATAAAATATAAGAATGAGGAATTACATACAGCAAATATATGGTTGTAAAGAAGATCATATTTTGTTTTCACTCTCATCCTTTCGGTCATTAAATATTCCCGTTCTTGTAATAAATTAAACTTTCTATCTTTCATTTGTTTAACTTCATCAGCTAAACTGAGTATCTGATCTAATTTTCGTTTTCTGCAATTTTGAGCTGCCACCTTGACAATTAAATATTTGTATTTAATACTTTATTATTAAATAAAATATAAATTAATATTTACCTTATTTTTACCACGACGTCTTATATCCCTAATCAATGTCAATTGGCTTTCAGAAAGGTCATATTTAGATAATCGTTCATTAAACTCATCCATAGGTAAATTTATTATGTCATCCACACTTATTGGGATATTAAGATTTCTAGCTCTTTTTTCATCTCTTGTTAATTGTTCATCTTCACTTCTTTTGTAATTATTCTTGAGTTTTGTACGAGGTATTCTGGGTAGTCCTTCTGGTGGCATAGCATAAGTGTGGTTAAGAGCTACTTGGTGTTCTGGAGTTAACAATCTTGAGCAACCTTAATCAATTAAAACATTTAAGGTTTAACTTCCAACAAAAATTAATTAACTTGCTTTAACTTAAATTTGTATATATTAAACAAATATTATATTTCATGATTAAAAATATTAATATTTATAACTTTACCCCACCTGCAATATGTCTTGAAAAATGAGAAGAACCGGGCACTGGGATTCCATCTCTTAAAGACATGTCATAAGGTATGTTGAGTGTATCAGATACCATATTTCCAGCAAGGTTTTGTCTAGACGATTCAGAACCATTTGAGGTACCTTAACATGATAATCATTTAATTCAATTAATTAGATAATAGTATATTGTTGGTTGGGTAATCATTATGGTGAAGATGTTAGTCAATTTATAGGTTTATAGAGCCAGACTAAAAAAAATTGGTTTAAGTTTTATTTTTAAAACAGCATGAGGGTTACCGATTTATAAAAAAGAAGTAACATCCATGGGTAAATGAACCAATGAAAACTATTAATTAAATAAATAAATATTCATACGTGTAGTATCAAAAATTTTGTTTACCTGCTGCTGGATCAACCATACGCCTTCCATACAATTGATACTTCTTTTGAGGGGTTGAATGACCTCGACCACTACCAGAATAAAGGTAATTATCCAACCATCTCATTTTTCTAAACATAATAATGTGGTAGATAGAATCGAATCCATAAGAAATATACGTAACAAAGAAAAGTAATAATTACCCATAATCTTGGTGTAAATGTGAAGGATAAACTTCATTGTGTCCACTATCAGAATTTGTCTCCATCCATTCTGTATCTGAAGATAATGAAGGTACACGTTCCGACCCCATCGAGCTTACTGCACTGTCAGAATCTCCACCAGCACTACTATTCTGCACCATGTTCATAGTGTTGTTACAAGGTACTGAACTTGCACTATCCATCATTCTAACTGGATACATACTGCCTATATAATTCATAAAATATTGTAAAAATAATTTTAATATATAAATTAGTAAACGCAGTAAATCATTTTTAATATGTATACTTTGATAAATTACAAACGATATTTTTATTCGTTAATTTTTTTTAGCTATATAAGCCCATGAATTTTATGAAAAATCAGTCGATTTTTTTGCAAATATAAGCTTTAAATAAGTGATAATATTTACACAACTAAATATAACAAACAACACAACAGCTTTAGATTTTCTATTAAATAAAAGTAAAACTAATTTTATATGCATAAAAATATTAGTGATACGTTTTAAATAGCTACAACCGAAATAATAATAACTACCGTCTGGTGCCATTGCTGGATCCATTAATTGCAAATCGTCATCGTTTAATATTGAAGACAGTAAACCATCCGACGACGGTGTCATTTCATTATTATGATTCTACATTGAAATAAAATCAACAAAAAATTAATACTCTGACATTTATTATTTACAAGAATTTGAAGATCGAAGTAAAAGAAAGAATACTGACTTGATAAGGGAACATCATTTCGTGTTGATGTTGCGTTGGTTCAGTTTTGAACGACGGCGACTGCTCTGAAGAGCTGCTAGGCAAATGGAGAGACGTAGCCACCGCGGAGCTAAGATTACAATTAGTTGAGATACCTAAATGAAAACATTGAGTTTTATGAAAATACTAAATTACTTAACCGAGTTACTCGACCTTATTGAAAAAACAATAATTACTTATATACGTATATCTTACCCAAGGGTGATGGATGGTGGTGGTAATGGGATATGGGGTGCAGTGATGATGAGCCATGGCTCATATCGGATGTAGTGACTGGTGGAGGTGGGTGTGGTGGAGCGCATAGACTGACATTTTGTAGCAGAACGTTGCCCGAAGAATTCGGATGATACATGCTCGGGCCAGGGTAGTTGACAGTGGACGGATGTTGTGCGTAATGTTGGTGCTGACCTTCACCAGGAAAGGCTAACATCGGACTACATGCTGCCAAATCTTGCCAACCTCGTTGGTCCATGCTGTTTCCACCAGATCTGGCATAACCCATTCTTCCCTGCAAGAAACACACGGGTTGAAAATAATGTCAAATCAAAACTTTATTTTACATAAAAAGCTACATTAATATATTTTAATAGTTATTTTCTATGCGATTTTTTAAGCATTGCACGGCACAGCATGTTGAAGTACACATTCTTAAACTAAATCCATTGGAACACAGATCGCTAATTACAGCGTACGATTATAAATGACAAGAAAAACTTGATATTACAATAACGTTGAATCGTTTAGAAGGCTTTTTAGGAAACAATTATATATTTAATTTTAAAAAATAACTCGTAAAACTGCGGTACAAATGTTTAATTTAGAATACGTCCGATATTATTATTCGATATTTACACTAACAATATGAAATTGACCTAATAATCATCGTGGTGTGTTTGTATGGAAGAAGTACAACACTGTACCGAGTAATAATTATTACGGACAATATCTTTTTACGCCGACTAGAATAACGTCAATGGACTAAAGCGATAAACGACGGCACTTTCACGTTTATAAGCGACCGGTCGGTTAATGTCAGTTTCCCAGTGTACAGCTTGTAAAGACAATAAAGTCATTATAGCATACACTACTAAAACACGGCACCAATGTATAAATCTTTATAAAAACATTAGAGAGATTCATACAGACGTAATGAAATACAATAATATCCCAATAATTATTATTAACGGGTTACATTTCAAAATGTAATAACCACTTTATTACTGCCACGGCAAACGTTTTGATATTTGTTTTTTTTTTTTTCATTTTTTCACATGTAATAACGGCTCATCATTAACAGCCAGCTACTACTGTTCGTACATAATTTCGGGACCTAGAGAAAATACTCCTCGGGGTAATCAATCGTGTATTTTTTTAAGTCCCGTTCTTGTTTGACACACGATATCCAACAAAAACAGTTTGATGATCATTTCCCTGTTTTTTTAAACACTATGTCACTTGTTTCAAAAAACAGTCTATCTGTTGCATAGTAGTTGTATTTCCGTTTAATTTTTCAACGCTATTCGTAATGCTTAAGCAAAGACTTCTAAGGAGCATAATCATAGAAATCGGGTGATGATTCTTAAAAAGCGTTGAATGAATAATTACGTTTTAGTATTTTTATAAACCAATTTCTGTAAATAATTATTAATATTTTCTAGTTAAATGCATCTTCGATAGCATTTACATGCGCGCGATTACTGTTGTACACACAAATACGATCATTAAAAAAGAACGGTTAAACGACCATAAAATCATTATTTATGACTTTACAATATCTCAGCAGTGTTGCACAACTAAATTGTAGAATACCGAGGTTATAGTCACAAGTATTTCAAAGTGGTGTGCAAAAGCAACGATAAGGTTTATTCTAAAATAATTGTTTGGCGGGTAAGAAAATTTAAGATGTATGCAAATGTAGAGATTTCAAAGAAACTCATATAAATTAATACAGCTCGGATAAAATATTAAATAACAGTATTGGTTAATTATGACAACAATAAGATAAGAAATAACATTTTATTATTAATCAGATGAAAAGACAAAACAAAATGCAAAAACAAGTCGTGAAATACAGACGATGAAGCAATACTATTTCAGGGGAAAGAAAACTGACAAATTGTAATTATTACGCGAACGAAATGAACCTTAAACTACAGTGTATCTGTTGAGTTGTAAAATGCAGTACAAAAGACTGGAGAGGTCGCCGTTTTTACTGTAAAAAAATAAAACCCCGAGACCATTTTTCTCCTCGAAGAATTCTTCTCCGGCCGTCTCGAGTGGTTATGATAATTACATGTTCGTGTGTCGTGTAGCGAAGTCAACACATTTGGCCGAACACAACTGAAGAGTCCACGACAACAGTCTACCGTGTACGTCAAACGTTAATCCTCCCAACCGACCGCACAATATTTAAGTAAATATTTATCTTTGAGGTGTCTATGTCTGTCCTTGTCTTGCCCTCGCCGGGCAACACACACGTTCGTACACAAAGGTTTAATGGCTCTACTTCTCATTGCTACCATTTACTACGTGCCAGTCCGCATCCTTTTCGTTACAACCTCGTACATACCACCACATAAGGTCCCCGTGTGACTGACGTCTCGTACCTTCACATGCGTCTACCCACCCACCTACTCGCTACTATAAAGCGCACTCGATATTATTATTATTATTATTATCGTTATATATGCGGTAAAGTGGACGACGAAGACGACGTCGTCGCGCCAAGTGCTCTATGGACGCTTCAGTTGAATAGAATTCTTAAATAATTCTGTGTGCCCACTTGACGACGGCACCAAACCACTCAAATTGACATTGGTAACTGAATAATCGTAAAAACTTTATAATAAAACAAACAAGGCAGAGTAACGTTTTTAGAAAATATTTAAAACCGCCCACGAGATACTGCGAGAAGATAACGAGTCTGCAAAAACGGCACAAAGGATCATATCAATACATTATTATGATTTAGCGTCTAACAAAATATTATGGATAAAAACTCGGTTATCGCGGTTGGGCGCTCGTCTAGAGTCCGATTATTTTTCCTTCTTTTGACGTGACGATTTTATTTGGAGAATTGAGTTTTTTCTTTTATTAAACATTTTAAAATCCCATCATTTATGAAATGTTTTCGAATCCATGACTAAAAAACGCACGTGCGCTAAGCCGTAAATATATCAAAAAGCTCTAACGGAATTGACATAGACGTTGTTAATTACACTTATGCCCCGCCGCTTTTAACTTGTAACTGTGAGGCCAAGGCGTATCTAGAGAAAGTATCGGAGGCCGGCCGATCCACGAGAATAATACAAGTCGTAGTAATTACAATTACTGTAAAAAATAGACAATAAAAATAACGAAAAAGTTTGGCAACGAGCACCCGCGGCCAATGAAAGGAGATACGACCGCAGGTGTGATCTACGAAGAAGGAAACAATGTGCGGAGCAGCAACTGATAGGGCCATTTGTCAAAAACATTATTTACACAAACAGCTAATAATAATAATCGTCCTGGTGCTCTCCCCAATATAGTGTTTAATAGGAGAGAAATACACGGGCGGCGAGTCATGTTGTTAATTCGGAATAGCGTAATTTGTTTGTTATGCGCGCGCGTCTTCAATATAAACGCGCACTGTGGACGTCGAACCCATTAGAACCGCCGAACGAACATCATTAGCGTTACATTACCGCGTTAAATAAATCGCGGTCCGGAGACGCTAATTAAGTTTTCACGAGTTGGTGCTGGACGACGGTGTACACACATTATCGTCATGTGTGAAGTGGGCACCTTACGTTTTCTCACCGAATTCCCATCTCGTCGTCCTTAAATGGACTCATCCGCGTGTAATACGCAGCTCTACTACTGCTGCAAGGTATTACGCGTTACACGAATATCGGGGACGACACATTTATTTTTCTCACCCGCACGACGTGTGTGCCCAAGTACTCGACGAACTCACCACTATTACTCGGTGCATACTTTGACGCACACACGTCGTACAGGTAATTTTTTTTTTTTTTTACTCATCTCGCATACTCGAGCACACTTATTGATTGATGTTATTCTCTCTCTCTCGTTATTTGACTGTCCAAGGACGCCTAAGATACGACGACAACGTTGGATTTCTGACGACCTTAAGTAAATAAAATAATAATTGCTTAAACTAACGCGCACTAGGTACTAATATAAAAATAAATAACGAGACAATTTGTCGTCATCCGACTGCAGAGTACACGTTAAATATGTTTTCGGCTGTAAATCGCGAAAAAGGGAAAGAGGAATAACTAGTCTGCCGTCCTCGAGATCACAGCGATGGTCACCGAAAACTACACGGTACTGAATTTGGACAAAATTCTACTACAATGATTGCACCTAATGAGCGCCGCCAAAAAGTAATTGGTCAAATAATAAAGTGTTGTTGAAAAACGAAAATATATCGCTTAATAATGAAGTCAATATTAGATTCAGAGCGCAGGAGACTGTTAATGTGCGGTAACGTTAAAGAGTAAAGTTAAAAAAAACTTAATGCAGTTCGCGCGTGCAATCCTTCGGATGATTTCTTTATAATATGAACGCCGACTGCGGTTGCATTCGACGGGCGGCCGTACTCGATAATAAACGGATAACTTTATCGTTATAATTATAATTACTACTGTTGCAGTCATTATGTATGTAATATCGTGTTGGACGAGAACATTATTGAATGCGAGGCGGCACCGACGACACGGCATCAGGCGAATAAATCATTATCTCGGTGGCATTTATATGAATACGCCTTTATACCTTTCGGACGTCCCGTGCAAGACCAATCATTGGTTCCCAACACGTCCAACGCTCGTAAAATACAATCCCGACAACGCGCACAATACAATTATACGTGTGATAATAACAGCCACAATAGCACTTAACACGTGGCGTTTGCAAATTATCATGAGCTCCTGTAATAATAACGGCACGTTAAAACATGTAATACGAATCAAAATGACATTAAAATGATCTTATCGGCGGACAGCGTGTAATCCGATTACAAGCCGATGTCGTGTGCGGCTGACACATTGGCATTGTTTCGACGAACAAAACGTATTGCTTTCTTCGGACGCTCTCAAAATGACCCGAAAATAACGAAGATGCCCACAAAGAAAGTAACATTGACGAATATCAGCCCATTAAAGTGCATAATAATAATTATGACGGACGGCTTATTAGGCGCGTACACAAACGACACGAGAAAAAATTACTTGGGCCCTGAAGACTTATTTTGTGGTCTTAATTAAGGTAAAATAAAATAATTCATATGCAGTCTCCGGCGCGCAATGCTCGTTACGCTAACGAAATCCAAATATTCATTTGTAGACACTATTAGACTTACAATAAAATTACTGTGGCCGCGGTAAAAAACGTATTTCGGCCACTGAATTATAAGCAAATACACTTTTTATAATAAATCCGTTTAAACAAATCTGAACGGTAAAGTGGTCGACACTCACCAAACTTAAACTTCGTTGATTT